GCATGTGGTCAAGATGTACTGTACTTCTTTATTTTGTATCTAAAATATTTGTTATAAAATCTAAACCTTTGAGCATATTTAGATTTGGAGGCAAGTGCAACTGGTTTCCTGCTGTTAATTGATACAATGAAATCATTTCACAGAAGTATGAAGAGTTTCTTCTAGTTGGGCGCGCCCCATAGGGGGCATATAAGGATACAAAAGGGAGAGAGAGAGGTTTTTATATACACCTAATTCAAAATACCATTGAATTTTTCCAACTATAAGGCAACATTGTTACAGCGATTTGTGAATAGAAACATAAGACTCTCCTTCTAATCAAGCTTGGTTTGATATTTTGTGTTTTAGTCACTGACTTGTATTTGCTACTAACCAGCAAATTCTTCTAAATAACATTTTTGTTAGCAAAATCTTGCAGATGAAGTCTGATCCAATCACAGTAATTTAATAATAAAAACTTTTAAACCTTTCATGAAGACTGCATTTATTTTGGTTGCCATTTGTGGGATTTGAGCAAACAAGTGGCTATTTGCCATGTAATAATAAGCCATGCTGTTAGCTACACTGCAGCAGAGCTTAAGCAGGCATTGAATCCCACTAAAACAACAAATAATGTCCACTCTAGCAGTCATATTAAGAATTAAAAAAAACATTTTCTATCAGCGTCATATCGTAATGACTATCCACACTAAAGCTTACGAACGTGGTTTCATACAGGTTAGTAAACAATTTGACACTACATGGAAAGTAACAATTCAGTTATTATATCAGACTTTCACAGACTCTCTGCAGTCTTAATTGTCTGATTTTTTTTGTCATTTCAACTGTGAAGTTGAGTCCTTGCCAGAGAACACCCAATAGGAACGTTTGGGACTAAAATTAGACACATTTCCCGAGATATCTTCCATCGGTTAACTTTCAACCGATGGAGAAGTTTGGGTTGAAATACTTTCCTGTCTACCAAAAAACAGGCAGCTTTTGTGAGCTTTGCACATCCTAGTCCCATTTTCATCCACTTCTCTGAGTGAGGCATGATTTTCTACACTTTTGATGATCACAAATAAGCACTGCAAGAGAACCGATGTTGGAAGTAACTTGTGTTGTGCTCTTTCTTCCAGAGCCGAGAATTTAAATTTTTTTGGCAATTGTGCAGCGTCAGAGCTCACTCTGATAATGTTTGAAGTGAATTTTTAAATTAAGTAATCTGAAGTTCAAATGTGAATTTGGATCATATTACTTCAATCTGCTGCACCATCTTTAAGTAAAGATTATATTTGATGTAAGATTAAATGCACAAAAAGCAAAGGATTTTTTTTGATTAAACATTAAAAAAATTATTATCTTTTACACCAAGGAGGGGGCCTGGAGTTTTGTTATTAACTGAAATTGGGACATTGTGTTTTAAAGGTTGAGAACCACTGCCACTGCCGTAAAGGAAGAGAACTTTTGGGCCTTTATGGGTTTGGTAATTGTCTGAGATATGCATGTCAGACACATAGAGGTGGATGTTAAAATCTGAAGCTCCATTGAATAAGCTATATCAGTAAATCTGTGATGGAGTTGTTTGCCATTTCTTTTCTTATTAGTTTAATGATAATTACCTCTTCCTTTCCCCCAGATAATATTAAAAACTGGGCTCTACTATAAAAATCTATTGCAGTGTTACAATATATATGAATGCTACAGTAATTAATTAAGCTGTGCTACAGGCCATCCATTCTGGAAATCATGTGGTTCTCTGGAAACTTAATTAATGACATTCACATGAAGCACAGAAATTCAGTTATAAAAATAAGACCTTATAAGTTCATTTGAAAGTGAGATGTTTCTGTAGCATTGAAATCCACTGATCGTGTTGCAGACATTTAATACTATAGTAAAAATGTCCTTTATTTAGTGACCGCCTTCTTTTTTAAACTTAGTTATTAAATGACTGTTATATAAATGTCAGTATTAACCATATGCCTCTTAATACTGAACTGACTTATCTGACTTAGCAATGTGACTTAAGAAATCTAAAGAATTATGTCAGGCATTGTGTCTTACTGAATATTTCAAGAATGTCATAGTGTGAAAAGCAGAACACTTAAACTTTGATGTTAAGTAATACTAAATTCCAATACTGTGTCATCAGTTAACATAATTACATGTGTACGTATGTTTGTGCATATCTATATATGGTGTTTATATACTGTAGCAGATCGTCCACTCTGGGTAGTGTAGTCTGGAGGACTCTGTGGCTAAGGATCTGCGCCTGTGGCTGGAAGGTTGCCGGTTCGTATCCTGCAGCCAGCAGAGGAATCCTACTCTGTTGGGCCCCTGAGCAAGGCCCTTAACCCCTGCTCCAGGGGCGCCATATAAATGGCTGCGCTCTGACCCCAAGCTTCTCTCCCTGTCTGTGTGTCTCATGGAGAGCAAGTTGGGGTATGCAAAAAGACAAATTCCTAATACAAGAAATTGTATATGGCCAATAAAGTGATTTTTATCTTATCTTAAATACAGACTGTATAACCATATTTTGACTGTATATTCTGTATAACCCTAATAGACCAGAATGAGGTGATTGTCTGAACATGGACCAACCCTCTTGCTTAAACCTTCCCACCCTAGTGTGGTCCTTAACCTTAGCCATTCCTCTTTCCCTGTATGGCATATTTTATCTTTATCTTTTGGTGGATCCTGTTTGGCCAGGGACTCTCCCACTGCCACTGCACTGTCAGCACTGCACTATTTTCCCTTAAGATATAACCTGATCAACTCCTAGTCTTGCACTGATAATTATAATTAGTATAATAATGCATTGACTTGAGGCTATTTAAAATAAATGTTTAGTTCAACTAAATCAAACCACAGTAATCACAAACATCAGTAATCAAAATAACATGAAATCCTGCTCTGCGTCCAGTCTGCACTTTCTCTCTCTAGTTAGGTGATAAGAATGCCCCACTCTAATGAAAAGGGCAATAAAACTGTCAGTGAGCCCAGCCTGTCATTCCCCTCACTGCCGACACGGAACAGGAAGTGTTCATTACAATAAAAAAATAATAGAATACAAACACAAGACCACGTTGGGATGCGGATTCTGTGGTAATTGGGAAGACAATGGCTAACTCACTAGCTATATGTGTCCTGACCCTAGGCTGTTGCCATGCTAATTTGAAAGTTGCTCTTAAAAACCTTTGGCTCGGTTTCATCCTGGTCTGCCTCCATCCAACACCCTGTTGGTCAGACAGAATTGTAAATAAGCTAATTGACGAAAGTTAAATTTACAGATGTCAAGATCCTACTGTATTTAGTATATATTAAAAATTGAGGAAACTGCTTTCCATTTTAATTTACAGGATTGACTGTGAATATAATGCAACAAGAAATTTTAGCCAATAATTCACTGGCGGCCTTCATTCCATCAGATATAAATATTTACTTGGATAGGTTGTATTGTTATAATGAGGACCACTTTCTTAAAAGGTCCCAGTAACCCCTAGATTTTGTGCTAATTGAGTTCTTAATCAATACTCTTATCTGTAGTTAAATGTTAAAAACTTATTTTAGCTCTTAAGAATTTCATTGGGATTAGTAAATATTTTTGACCCCGAAGCACTATCTTAAGATTCATACTGTCCTCTTTCCGGTTGATGCAGATAACTTTTTTAGTAGGTGTTTTTGTTGCATTGCCATTCGTACTTGTTTCTCTATACCATTAAATGTGGAACTATTAGAAATCGTTTAGAGAAAAACAAGGAAACAACTAATTTAAGGAAGCTGTAAATTTGTTTACCAAAATTCTTCAGATTACCGTATCTGTTGCGGGGTATTTGTGAGGCAAGACTGATCATTAAACACAATTAATTCATTCCCTATTTAAAAGCATGATCAACATGTCCTCTGCATTCATTCACACTGCACATGTCAGATTCTCAGGTAAAGCTGAATATGTTTCTTGCTCAACTTGCTGGTTTAAAATCCCTAACAGTATGTGATTTCACCTGTAATAGCCGTCTGTATCCAGACAGATACAGTAAAAATAGTAAAAATAGTTTCAGGTGACAAGACCTGCCACACCTGTTTCCTGAAAGTCTCCTTTAGTATTCTTAATAGCTGAAGTTGAAGTATTGATTTCCCAATAACACAGCCTGAACCTCTTCCACATTTTCAGTTATGCACATTAACAGGCACCAAACATGGCTTTCTTCTCATTATTAATTTTAATAATCATAATTTTTATTAATCATTTTTATTCAAAGTCTCTTGTACAGCATGATACTGTTTTGATTAACAGCTAAGGTGTGTTGGGAAATAGCATGTTTTGAAGAATTAATTATAGCCTTTTAATTTTAATGAAAAACAAAAACTCTGTTGTCGTAACTTCATACTAAACATAGTTTGAAGAGCTTGAAATATATAGGTGAATGTATATTTAATTATTATTTGTAGTCAGCTTGAATGGCTTTAATAACATTAGTATCATGGATCCCTGTCTTTGTGTGTCACTAACTGGCTTTTCACTTGTGATTATAAACTTTACGGCCTTCCTCAAAAACATATAAATTATGTCTTTTAGGTACTTTTCTGACAACATTACATGTTCTGTAACTGTTTCAGTGGTCTGTAGTATCCCTCCTTTTTATAACATGTAGGGGAGAGAATTATCTGATGTAAATGGACATTTTTGTTGAAGGAATATGTATATACTCTACAGTACGGTCTGTTGGTATTTTGTTTGACATAATTTACAATATGGCTAGCTGTTAAATTAAAACTTTTCAAATGACTATCACAGTTAAAAGAGAGGTATTCAACAGTAAATGAAAGTGTTAAAGAAGAAGAAGTTTGTTTGGAAAATGTCTTCTTGCCACTACCTGAAAATAGTTTTATAATTTTATATCTTAGAATGAATTTTGATGTTATAGTTATTATGGTAATTAGCAATATAAGTACAAATAGTAACTTGAATGTCACAAGACTCATTGTACTATGATTAAATCATATATATTTTTCAGAGTATGCCCAGGAATTTATACAAAACTGTGGAGCAGTACTGGAGGGCGAAGACATGGCCAAAGCTGAATTTGTGAGTAAAAAACATAAGCATTCAAAGCTGCATTTTTGGAAGCATGTATATAATTAGTTGATATGTTTGAAAATTCAATAAATACATAAAATTGCATTATTGGGTTTGGCAGTATTTGATTTTCACTGCAAAATTACCTTAACAATGTTCTTCCCTGTCAATTAATTCCATTTTGCAGTATACAACAAAAATGTACAAGGATGAGTTTGTTTGTCTGAAGCCAAAAAGATTAAAACTATAAAGCACTCTGGTGAAGCTACAAGTGTTGTCAAACAGAACAGGAGTATTAAAAAGAATGTACTCTGACTTCTCAAAACCTCTTTTCATCAAACAAGTTAATGCTTTCAGTTATTTGCCAGGTCATTGTGGTCATTTATCTAAGTCCAGCATTTGTTCCACATAAAGAAAAAGAAATGAGTGACCTAAGGTAGACCTAAAAGCCCACTGTTGCTTTTGATTACGGTGCTTATTCTCCACACAAATTATTTCATAAACAAAATGCTGCCCTTAGAAACAAACCCTTTCTCTTAACTGTGTCTTAATATAAAACCTCTTAGATTTGTTCTCATTTTCTGGAACAACAAATTGCAAAAATCCATAAACAAATTCTGGAATCAAAATTGTATTAAAAGACTAACCCTGCAAAATAAGGAACAGTAACAGACTAGTGTGTCTGCTGTTCCATATTTTTTGTCTTTATTGATGTTATTTCTGATTGCTAAATACCAATGGAACCGCCATTAATTGAGGATTTGTTTAGGCCCCATTGTACTGTTGTTGGTTAAAAATGTTTTCTTTTCACTGTCTGACAATTCTCAGCACTCTCTAGGAGTGAAAACAGAGCAGGTACAGTTCTCAGATTTCAGTTTTGTACTCCATGTATTGTAGAAGCATAACAATCTTTTAGTCTAAAGTACTGACCATCCAGCACTCATATTTTAAAGTCCTTTTTTGATAATCTAGTGTTAATCTAGTGTTATTCTTGACATTCTGTCACTAGATTATCAAATCATTGTCACGTTTACATCCTCATATGCTACTAAAAATGTGGCAGTGATCTGCATATACAAATAGTCTAACCTCTTCCTCCTTGGCATTAAATCTAAATTCTAAAACGTCAGTTTTGTTTCAGAATCAATAACAATATGTTAAATTAGAAAGATAGAGACAAAGAGAGACTTCTGCTGTTTCAGTAATATTCAGACTGAGAAACCTATTAAACATCAGTAAGCCTGATAAGAATCATGGGTGTAATAAATATAAAATATATAACAGATGCAAAACATGTTTTCATTAACAGAGTTCTGTCTCAACTGGGTGGTTCCGTGCCATTAAATCATTGGTGAACCGAAATGAGTACACAGACTCAAACGTATTAACAGGAAAACCAGACCCGTCACATTTACTACCATGATCCTCACTTAAAGTCCGAAGTCAAGCTGCCTAGCAGCAGGTTCTTCACAGTCCCTAAGAGTTTAGGTAACTGGAACAATCTCTTGCTGGTCAATCAAGCTCCTTGAGCATCACTTAGTCAAGCTACATGAGGAGGCACCCAACCAACTTTATTACTACACCTATGTGAAGAGTTTTGATTCTACTCTGTACAACAGATTATTTTCCTAAACCAGCTAGCGTGTGAAAGGCCATGCTACATATAAGAACACATAGTGACATTCAGTAATGGCCATTTGTCTGCTGCAGATGTAATGGAATCTGCAAGATGTAAATAATAAAAGCAGTCCTAGCAGCTTAGGCTCAATATTGTATGTACTAAACTACAGAGCAGGCCTTAAAGTGAAAAAATCCCTTTTTCACACAGGGCCATGTAGGTTTGGAATTTGTTTTCCCCTTAATAATAAAAACCTTCATTTAAAAACTGCATTTTGTGTTTACTTGTGTTATCTTTGTCTAATATTTCAATTTGTTTGATGATCTGAAACATTTCAGTGTGACAAAAACACAAAAAAACAAGAAATCAGGGCAAACACTTTTTCACACCACTGTATATCAGCATAATTTAAGTTCTTTAAAGTTCTTCACCTTTTCTGGTAAAAAAAATTCTGTTTGGCAGGTTACTGTATAACTGTATTGATACAAGATAAGGAATTTCAAAAATCACTTCTGTTTCTCTGATTTTTCACTGAGCTAAAGATATATCGTTTGTTTTAAGAACAATCTAGATCAATTGGCTAGTTAACCAGTTCTAGATCCAAGTGCATATATTACCTGGGATTCAATTGGCTTTTAACCTGATGATGATCATTTTATGTGAGACCATATCAAAGTTTTTCTGTGCTTTCGTCGTATCAACTTATCTTTTTAGCATTAACTCTCCTAATATCTAACAATACATGTACTGAATACTATGTATTATTTTTTCAGTGGTGAAAAGCAAGTATTCTTACTGATGCTTCTCCAACACATAAAATAATGTGTTAAAAGATCTTTAATAGCATTTGAAGAACACATTTTGACAGCTTATATAGTGTCCTGAAAGGTGATATTATCTCAAGCTTTAACAAAGAAAGTTCCCTCCCTGCCTTTTTTTCTTTCATGACTTGCTATACCCAGTGTTTGCTTCCATGCACAAGAAAACTACTGAGAATGATTATAATAAATAAATACATATTGTAAGTTATCATTGATGCATAAACCTGCTATAACAACACAGCTCTTTGAAAAGCCATGTTAGTCAAATAACCAATGTTATCCTTGTATTATAGTCTTGTTTTTTTTTCTTCTAAATTGAGCAACATTAGCTTAGGTTTTGCAAGAGTAAATTGTATTTATACCATATTCAGGTTGCTTGAGTAAAAGATTAGCATTTCTTTTAACCAAAAGTATTGCAGTAACCCAGTACTTATCACAGGATTGTAAAATTCACCTCCACCTAACTAAAATATAGCATTGCAAAGGGTTTTGTAGGTAAAGGTTTCCATGTTACTTTTGGTGTTTGATTAGCCTTTCACAGTAAAGAAATTAGATTATGCATCAAATACTGCATTATGAAAATGAGGTACATAAGATACATTAATATACTTTCCATTTCAAGATTAATAAAGAATGATTAACTTTCTGGATGTTTGTATTTGTACATTGAGTGAAAATAACATCATTTCCATTGTTTCACTTTATCAGGGGCATCAGAGGTGCTCACTTTTTTTATCTTTCCTTGATAAAGCCCTAAGCAGCATTTAATAACTCTGTTATGAAGGGGCTATTTAAGGAGACACCTTTTCTCCTGTACCAAAAAGACAGAGAAAGAATGAAGAATTAAGTCCTAAAGAATGCATAAAAAGGTTAATGGTTTTCTGTGGTGCAGTACACCATTGCTGTATTTGGATGAAGTATAGTAGAAAAATGTGTGGATAGGTGTCAAATGTGACTTTTTATTAGGGCTGCCTGGTAAAAACTTTGATTGTCAGTTTGTCTTTGCATTATTGTTACTGTGGAAATCCTCACTCCGAGATGGTAGGTCAGAGACTTTCACACATGAAAAACATTCTAAACTGAAAATGGAAATGAATGACTTAGGGTATTTCCTGGCTTCATTAAAAGTTTGAAATAAAATAAAGTAAAAGATACTTGAAAGATAATAAAATAAAAAACAACTCTAAACTTAGTGTCTATACACTAAAATTTAAAATGGGTAATACTGAGACGGAAAAGGCTACTTATGAAAAAGGTGTTTGTTGACACATCATTTACATCTTCTAGACAATGTGAGGAAGCAATTAGAAATGTAAAACAATGTTAGGATATATATATATAAACATTACTTAAAACAAGAGATGTTTAAATTGTATAATGCACCAGTAAGGCCTCATTTAGAATATTGTGTACAGTTGTGGAAGCATGGAACAAGCTGCCCAGCCATGTTGTTGAAGTTGATACACTGGCTTGATTCAAGAAATAACTGGATGTTGTTTTGTAGATCAAAACTAACTTATAATGGGCTACATGCTCCCTCACATTTGTAACCTTTCTCATGTCTTCACTGCTAGCAGGTCTACCAACAGGCAATTAACTATAAACACTCTCAAAACTCAAAACTCTTTTCTGCAAAGCCCAACATGTCAACATTCAGACATGGTGACTGAACACATTCAGTTAATTTTAGTGACTTATTTCCTACAGGTGAGTGCCATACAAGTTGTTGAGGATGACCCCGTGACAGCCTCTAGTGGTGGTCTTATTGTCATTGCACCTTCCAGTCCTCTTCCACAGGACACTGCTTCATTATGCAAATATGAATTAATATCCATGTTTGGGCATTTTTAAAGATATCTTCATGCAGTTTGCCAAACCAGTGTCCATAGTTTTCATCTGCAGAAAGGCATTTTGAAAGAGAAGTTTTTTTTATCAGTATCTTAATTTATATTTCATGAAAATGACATATTTGCTGCTATGGTCTTTTTCTGTCTTGCATTTTAGAAATTTGTGCCTGTAAAGGTATCTGTGACCCACAGTATAAGTACCTGGCACTACAAAATCACAACCATAGTAGTTCAACACCACATTAAAGTTTTTCCATCCAGATAAGTTTACAAGCCCAATGTGAAAGAATGGTTTCTTAATTGAATTAGAGCCCTTTTAGAAAATAATGCATTAATTAATGAGCAGCAGTTGACAGCAATTGTCTCACCTCTGTTTCAATTTAAAATGTGAAGGACAAACTCTTCAGTGTGGTGTCCATGTACAAGATGCCTTTGTTGAGCATATTGTGTTTGTGTATTTCCAAGATCATGTTGTTGAAAAAAATAATGAAAAAATCTGAAATTGGGACATTTCAGGTCATGTGAGCAAAGCAGTTAAGTGCTGTGCAGTTTGCTTTCATTGCAAGAGGTGTGGTATTATAGGCCAGTTGCAGGTGAACCGAAGAAGGGGTGGAACTTCATGTTTAGATCTTCCCTTTTTATTTTCCTAATGCAGGTGACTCCCTTATTTCAGATCCTGTTCTCACAGAGCTTGCAGTATCTGGGTTGTTTCTGCTTGACCAGAGTGCAGTCCATTCTTAATTTGCTGCCAATCCTGAGCTGCTGCTCACAACTTAACAAACATGTATGTTATTATGAAAGAAGAACGTGAGTCTGAACACGATACAGATTTACCAGATATTCCTTGGACTTGCCCACAGGTGGAGTTTAACAACAAGCCGGACTCACTGTTCTTTAATGATGGAACACGAAGAATTGATTTTGTGTTGGTCTATGAAGATGAGGACAAGAAGGAATATGATAAACGGCACATGTATCAGAGACGAAAGGTAAGCAGGCTTAAAGCTCTGATATGACTAAATTAAAACATAGTTATTAAAGCACCGCTTCTCTTAATAGAAAATCATAATGTTCTTACTCTATCAACATTATTAAGCTGTGAAACCACTTAATACTTTTGGGCACACTATAAAAAAACTGTGTTCTCTATAAAAGTAGACTTTTTCAGTGCACCTGGCTTGAAAATACATTTCAGAACATTTCTTTTGCCGGAAATTTCTTCAGGAATGTGCAATATTTTACAAATCTGTTTATGTTAAATGCACTTTAGACAAGGCGAGATTTAAGCTATTTTATACAAAAAAATATTTTTTAAACCGTGTTCATTGTGTCATCAACTAACTACAGGATTGTTTACTTTAGTCTTGAGATCATTTTGTATAATTTGTTTAGTCTTGTAGTTCCTGTTTCAGCTGTGTACCTTTGCATTTCATGTGACTTAGTTTAAAAATCAGAGGCTGGAGATGTGAAAGTACTCATCCAGTCAGATTATACCTGCAAACAGTTACATGTTTTCTTTCTTACATTATAAATTCTTCATCTGATTAGCAGCTTGTCTAGACTTGCTTAAAAATTTCACATTTAACTATTTAAAATGGCTTTTTATTCAATGTGTAATACCGTAACTGGGAAATAACCTTTTTAAGTATGTTCTGTGTTTTTCTGAATAACCCATGTAGTAGATAAAGTAATTGAAGAATCAGGAGGAACAGAACAAGAGACTGAAGAGTAGTGTGTTTTATGCTTGTCCTATAAAATTATTCCAGTTGTAGTGATGAGTTTTGCCTAGTTATTCAGATCTATATTTATCACGAAGTGATGAGTTAAAGACCATAATCAAAGTTGTAGCTGTCATTTTTTATAGTGAAGGAATTGTATATGCTTCTATATACAGTATAGATGCTTTGTACCTGTTTTCCATTGGATTTATGCATGCCACAAAGAGCAAACTACAGCAGGGTTTGCAGACAAAACATAATTGAGGAACCTAGTTTTTACTATTGTTCAACTCAATCAACTTTAAAAACCTGGGACTAAAGTGAAATATTTCAATATATGTGAAATGGTACAATATTTAATTCTCCAGTGCATGAATGTTGTGCATTTTATTTTAAACAGTAAGGCAAAAAGATTAAAAACCTGAATATTCAAATATAGAAAGTGTTACAAAATTACAGAAAGCTTTACTGTTGGTATATTTCTCTTTGAAGTAGAATTGTTTTGAGCTGCTGATCAATATTGAGGGATAATGTCTCTTCATTACAAGAAACAGAGGTCCTGAGTGCAGTACTGAGTAGTAGAAACGTTGAAGGGTAGTGGCTTCCATGAAATTGCAATAAGAACTGTTTCTTGGCCACTCCCAGCATGACTGCTTTTGGCTGGGAAGTAAGCAGTTTTCACCAGCTAAGTTCCACTCCCTCCAGATCTTAGCAGCACAATTCAGCTGTATTATTATGCACAGTATCACTGTGGATTGTCTGCTTGTTGTTGTTTCTGGCAACCGCCAGCCTCATGGGTTTGGAGTTAAGGGTCAGCTACTGCTGTATTGAACTCTTACTCCATACTGTACAACATAAATTATACCTAGTTCTTTGTTTTCAATGTTATGGTATGAACCAAGTAATTATACTCAATTATAATGTGGTAATCGATTGTTTCACTTGTGAAATTAGGTTAAACATTTCATATACATACTGTACATATACATGTATATTAAAGATTCAACCTCAACATTTTTTTTTAATTGATCAGTCAGCCCATTTGGACAAGATATCCAGCCATTATCAGAATGCTAGTTATAATGGTGAAGGGAATTCGGAGCCTATCCTGGTAGCACATAGCACAAGACAAAACCGAGAGAACTTAGCCTCATTCTGAATGGGACTTTGTACAGGGAAATGGAGAAAGAGGCACTTTAAAATCAAAACTAGCCAGCATGACATTGAGATGCGGAAGGAAACCAGGACACCCAGCAAAAACCCATGTGAATGTGGGGGGCGTTTGCAAACCCCACTCAGACACCAAGGCCAGAATTGATCACAGGACCATGGACCTGAGAGGCAGTGGCACTAACCATTGCACCACTGTGCCACTTGTCAAGATGTATATGCATGGTCTACATTACACACTTTGTTTGATGGTATCTCCTAGTTTCTTCCCCTTACTATATCGTACGCAGCTGTGTAAATCAAAGAAAACCAGCTTAAACCTGCTGTTGCACCTGGCAGTAATTTATCATGCAATGGCAGCAGAAATAAACAAATGGCAAGAATAAGATGGTTTTGCATAAGATTTGTTTTACTGTTGATTCTAAATTAAATGTGTGCACCCGTGACTTAAAGTTGAGTTCATAATATATAAAATGTATTTATATTTTTTAGTATGTTAGCTTCTTTGTAATATTTTACAGCCATCATTGATAGTCATCAATTCATGTTTAGTCCTTTGTGTACTTAAAGCAAATGCTTTCAGTTCAAAGGGTGTGTTGCTTTCAGACTGTTAGGATGTACTCTTTTCGTATCAATTTCTTCAAAATTTCATTGAAGGAAAAGCCTGAGAGCATAGGATGGGTCTTTACAATGTTTGTTCCTTCATGTACATCAGATATGCATCATCAATTAAATGTAACAAACACATTATAATAGTATCATTTGTCAGTCTGATTTTTTTCAGAATGTAGTATTTAATTTTAAGATTAAGATTTATTAGAACCAGAGAGTATTTTTGAAGCATTTTATGGTACTTGTTTATCTTGGATAAGAAAGGTATCAAAAATCAATAGAAATGAATAATTGAGTTTTACTGGATGAATTTACAGCAGATCTTTTTTAACTGTAGTAAAATTGTAGTTGATTTGTTGCTTTCATTTCAATTTCAACAGCGAAGGAGGGAGTATTTTGAAGCAAGCTTGATGAAGATGGGATTAGAACTTGAAGCAACACACTCTGTAAGTCTTTTATAAACTTTTTCATATCTCCCTACCCTGATCTTTTGAAAGTAAAACATAGCATATTTAAAAATGTATGTTTTTGGGGGGTGTATGAAGTTCATTTAGTCTTATTAGCTTTACCAAATGAGCTAGATGGGCCGAATGGCCACTTGATGGCCACATCTTACTGGAATTCAAAGTCTTAGCCTACATAAACTCCCATTTATCAAACTCCTGTGACCAATTACTTTTTCAATTTACCTGTGATTAGTTAAAAATTACTGTTTTTTCTATATGGTTCCAGTCTGAAGCCAACATGGTTTTTGAAGAAGCCCATAAATCAGGACTAAACCTGGTAAAATAATAATAGAAAACATTTTAATTTCTTAATTGATACCTCTTACAGCTAAACTATAACAAAATACTTTATAAAAATTCTCCAGTTCTCCTTTTTTTTTAAACCATGCTCCTTTGTTATTCATATGAGTGATGTACTGTTGTTACCAAATAACTGCACTGAAAATGACCGACAGTCATAAGAACATGTTTGCATTAGAGGAATATTGTTAAATTCAAAGGACATCAAAAATTTAATCCATTGAAAAACCTGCACAGACTTTAAATGGGTGCTTTTCTTCTGTTTTTGTTGTGGCTAATTCTGTTTTCAATACCTGCACTGATTCCAGGAATCCATTAACTGAAATATGGTTCATCACTTTGGTGTTGCTTTTTCCTTTCTCCAAGGTTTTGGATGAAAAGGTTATTTTTGTGAAAGTCCACGCCCCTTGGGAGGTCCTGTGCACATATGCAGAGGTGCTACACATCAAACTGCCCATTCAGCCCAATGATATGAAGTCTAAGGATTCGCCCTTCAATTGCTTTACGAAATACTTTTATCCCAGCAAGGAGCTGATCGCACCAGAAACTGAGTACTTTACTGCCCCTTTTGAGAAGGACAGGTTAGAGTACTTCTGCATTAAGGATCAGGACACATTCTTTACCCCATCCATGAGAAGTAGAATTGTAAGTACAGTAAACACTTTTCTGATCACATTGCTCGTCTGTGAAATAGAAAGGGTATAACATGGCTTATGGTAGCTTATTTAGCCAAGTGTTGTTTTTTGATCATGAAGTGCCCCTGAATTTCATTGATTAGATGCACGTTATAATTTGGTTTTTCCATGCTTTTATAATTGACTGCTCTCACTTAGGAAAATCTACAAGCTTGTGCCTAGCATTTTCCATTCACATTTTACATTTTATTACTAAACTATCATACTATCACTTGTGAAAGCAAGTGTTTTTCTTTGTTTACATTTTAGCTGTTGGAGATGGCCTCAGCTGTATCAATAATTATACAATTGCATAATAGAGTTTATTTGCAATGTACACATACACACTTATTTAGTTTTATTTAGTTTGGGGTTTATTAAGAAAAATATGTTCTTAGAGTCCTTACTTTTAAAACAGCTTACAGGATAATTTAAAAGCTTTTTTTGCTAGGCTGAAGAATTTAGTCACTTTTTTCTAATGACAATTTCTAATTACACTTTTATACCCACACACTTGGTCCTTGTCCTGAAATGTAAATGTCCCTATTTTAATTCTTTCTGGATATCTTATCTTTCTGGATAATAAGGAAATTGAGAATGATACAGGGATTCTCTCTCTGCCCAACAATATCTTAATGACCTATTAATAATAGCAACTCTGTGTTCTCAAGTATACCATCAGAAATTGATGTTTCATTGCATGGCAATTTGTAACATTTATATTTTCTACATAATTGTTATACACAAGGTATTTCATTTATTTGCAAATTATGCATCCCCTATCATATTATTGTCTTCTCTGTCAAACATTCTGATGGATAAATAATACCTGATGCTGGAAATGGATCAAATTCATCCTTAGAAGGAACTGGAAATCTTTAATGCCACCTGTGTTTTTTCCTAGGTATATTATATCCTCAGCCGTGCCCTTTATGAGGTGAGGGGCAAAATCAAGAAATTTGGCATCACTAAACTGCTGGGTAGTGTTGTGTACAAGGCTGCCTATCCACTGCATGATGTAAGTTTACCACTTTGACTTAAATTCGGCATTGCAGCCATGATATGGAAACATATCCTAAGGTAGTTTTCTCTGATTCGTTCCGTCTCTGAATTTACGGAATTGTATATCGCATATACAAAATAATATATATATAATCAGGGTTGTCTGTTTAAAAGGAACGCAGATTTACTGACTGAAGTTGAAGCTGTCTCTTCATGAGAATAAATTGGTTTATTACATAATGATAAAATGAAATAATTTACCTTTTTCCTTTAATGTTATCAATTATCAAATAATGCTATATATATTCACAATTAATGCATATATTAAGTGTCTATTATATTTAAATGTATTATTAAACATATTAAAACTGATCTAAAAAGGTTTAAAAAAAGCTATCAAAGAATAACAGCCCATTGCAATGGATTAGAAATTCTTACTAGGCTAATCTATTAGTTGCTGCAATTTAACCATCACCATTATCCTCTAACCTAATTGTAAGCATACACTCAAAATGAACAGCCTGTCATTTCTGTTTTTAATGATTCGGTACGGTATATTTTGTGTCATTTCTGTAAAAGCATAAAATACATAGTTAAGTTTTGATTTGTTACTAATTCTAAGAGCAGATTTTTTCACCATAGTTCACCATAGTATATGTACCCCTTTAAAAGGTGTTTTATCTCACTTTATAACAACACATTTGAATGATAAGTAATTGAATTGTCAGAATAACAAGGCAAACATCTTCAAACTTCTATTTATCTTGCATTCTTGCAAAAGTATGATTGGCCGGGTTTCTCTTGAAAATCTTAAAATACACTTGTGAATAAAAAAAATCTAGTTTTCTTAGTGCTATATAAGTGTAAGGATTTATTTATGTATTTAGTCACATGGCTCAAGTCATGTTCATAACAGTTTAAAAAGGCATACAAAATATTTTTTCTATGTTTTATCCTCCAGCGTTCCTAAAAAATTAAAAAGTCTTGTAATTTCTAGTCCAATAAAATTAAAACAAGTAGTAACATTTTATCTTTTAAATATCTTGATCTACTTCTTAAAACCATTAAGTTCTTATGTATATAAACCAATTGTGTGGACGACTTCATTGGTTCAGAGCCCATTCACTGGTGACTAGTGGGATTCAGACTGGTGTTGCACAAATAGGAAGAAGCTAGTAGATGAAGGAGTTGGTTTATTGTTTTTGTTGCTTGCTATTTGGACCTTTCTAGTTCCACGTTTGTACTTATTTCATTTCAAATGTGCTCCTGGTAACTGTTTCTGAACAACTGTAAAGACCAAGGAGGAATTTGTCCCTAAGTATTTTTTTTTTTACTCCTAAGGAGCAATGTGGTCAAAACCAGAAACAGTTTTACATAAACAAGATATCCAATCTGAAGTAGTAACAATTTAAATTAAAGATCCACAGCAGGGTGTTATAAATTTGGGGTTTTTGTGATTTTGTTTTCACATATAAGTTTTCAACTGGGATTAATTTATCCATGTAGCACTGACTCATTTTTATCTTTCACACAGTTTTTGAACTACTAACTACCTATTCTCTATCTCTCAATATGACTCAATGTATATACTAACTGGTATTGCAGTATATCTCCTTGGACAGCTGGTTAATAATCTGATAGGAGCTATCACCCTATGAATGATTGTGTGGATGTGATCAGAAAGATTTTTATGTGTTTTATTATTGGACAGTTTTTAAGAAAATGTATATGAGTAATAATGGTTTGCTATGCGTAAATGCAGTGTCATTGGCAGCCCCTCTTCTAAGGTTTTGAGTTTGATTGCTTTCTTTGTATCCTTTACAGTGCAGATTCAATGTGAAATCAGAAGACAAAAATTGTCCCAACGAAAGGTACCTCTTGTATAACGAATGGGCACACCCTAAGAGTTTCTATAAAATGCAGCCTTTGGATCTAATAAGGTAATACGTATCCAATAACTGATTTCATTTTTTGTCAACACTGTACAAAATAATATTGTCTACTGTTTTATAACCATTAAAATTGCTAATGTCTCGTACTAAACGTAAGAGTTCAAGGAAGAACTCTAACTCTGTAAGAGTTGTTGAATTTAATGTTTTGCATTATCTGCATACCATGAAATAAAAGGTTTAGAATAGTTCTACGACAGTATTGCAAATACAAGTTATGTTTGTTCACAGAAAGTATTACGGAGAGAAGGTCGGCATCTATTTTGCCTGGCTAGGCTTCTACACAAAAATGCTGGCCTTTGCTGCAGTAGTAGGACTGGGCTGCTTTATTTATGGATACCAAACCAAAGAAGTGAGCACCTGGAGGTATGGAAAGAAAGCTGTTCAGCACTTTGATGTTCTTCCTGGATATTTTTAGTCAGTTGTCAACATGCATTGCGGATTTTCTTATTCCTCACTCGATCTCTGGAGGTCCCTACAAAAGTTTATAGTTTTCTACCCCTGTAGCTATACCTCAGACCCCTGTGCTCTGTTACACATCCTATGTACAGAAAATGTCTCTGTTCTGCTTGCCATTAAGCATGTGAAGACTAAAAGCTGTAAGCAATGATTTGCATTAAATGGTTATTTCATTTCATTTTCAAAGCCAGGAGGTGTGTGATCCCCAGATAGGAGGCAATATTGTAATGTGTCCACAGTGTGACAGAGAGTGTGCATACTGGAGGCTGAACAGCACGTGCGAGTCCTCTAAGGTAGGTGTTAAATAAATCCTTGTTGATTCTAATTAGGTATATTTATTGTATGTAATTTGCTTCTTGTTAAATTTCCAAAATGTTTACAAAAGGTATACTGTTTTTTGTACAAATTTGTCAAATAAAAAGATATTAGTCAAACATGATTTTATTCTAGAAAAAATAAAATAACGCCAATCTGAAACCCAACTGTGAGATATGGATTATGTTCCTAATGAATATAGTCCTATTTTTATTGTCTTGGAGCTAATGGTATAATATTGTAGTAACGACATCTGTCACTTGTATTGAAAATACAAGGTTTTAGAACCTGTAATTAATGTGGAACAATGAAAGTCAGGTGGTCAAATCTATACAAAGGATGAACCTTTAAGTTTATATATGTATAACTGAATAGTCTATAAATGCAAACTAAATGTAAATTCTTTGTTTCAGAAACTCTGCATATTTGATAACTTTGGGACATTAGTGTTTGCAATATTCATGGCAGTTTGGGGTGAGTTTCATTATTAACTAAAGTACTTGGTGGCTGTAGGTTTTTGTTTTCATTTTTGTACTATTTTAAAGATTTTCAGCGATTAGTTTTGTTAAGAAATGAAAATTGATAAAAGCAAACCATGTTGCGAGAATCATATTGTGATAGGGCTAGTTCACAGTTAGAACACTGTTAAAGGAATATATAGGTAGTTGAGGACACCAAATATATTGAAAACAAGGGCTTCGACATAGAAATGGCTCATGTTATTTAAGCAGATAATTTCCCAGCATGCTTAGGTTCATTAAAAAAAATGTTGGACAGGCCTGGTTGTAGGAGCTTTAGTAAACAAGACAGCTCAATGTGTTGATGTTTCACAAGTAACAGTGTTTAAGGTGATATCAGCAGACACTTTGAGGCAAGGACCTCTTCAAAGGGCAAAAGTGGGAGGAAGCACATTCTGGAGGATTATGAAATTCATGCATTAATTTGAAGTGCAAGGTGAAACGGGTGAGCAACACATGTAAACTGACTGCCAAGAGGCGTCAGTCAATCATAGAAGGTCAGATCAGATCGGTTTCTGGTGACAATTAATGATAGTCAGTGACAGTGACAATTAATGCAGTTTGCCAGTCAATCTGCCACAAGGTGTCTGTGAATTTCCTGCTAGGTGTTATGGTGATATTAATTAGATCACTTCTTGCTATCTGAATTCTTCCTGTTTAAGAGAAGGATAAATGCCAAGATAAGGAGCTTGGGGTTAGAAAGAGTTTACTTATGTTTTTGAAGTGCAAGTGTTTTCTCACTTTGAAAATAATATACACTTTTTTTTTTATCCAGTTACACTTTTCCTGGAGTTCTGGAAGCGATACCAGGCAGAACTGGAGTATGAATGGGACACAACGGAGTTCCTGGAGCAGGAAGAGCACCCTCGGCCTGAGTATGAAGCAAAGTGTGTTCATGAAAGACTCAATCCCATCACGAAGGTGAGGAGAGATTGTCTGACTTGCCTTGAGTTTATGATCATAAATACAGAGCCAATGGCAGACATGCCTCTGCATATCCCTGTGAAGAAACACTTTGTAATATACTGTACGTGGGTGTTATCTGTGCTCACCGCGACCACAAGGGTTCTGACAGAAAATGGTAATTAGTTATTAGCCCTCTCGGGTATTAAAAGTTGTTTCAAAATATATTTTTAACATTCCCACCTTTTTAAGTCGCAAATTCTGCTTTCTTAATTTTAAAAATATTAATTTAGTATATTTCATATTTATTCTTATTTTTTAGAATGTTGTGGAAATGTATGAAATTTTTGAAACTCGCATCCATGTTTAATATCCCAGTCATGAAATTAATCTTAATGTTTTCAGGTTGCTTCCCTTTAAAATGCAATTAGCTTTAGATCCCAGTTAAACATAATTTAAAATGTCATACTGTATATGTGATTATTGTATACCACATACATTTCTGTTCTGATGAAAAGAATATTGTCAGAACATCTTAGTCAAAAGCTGATGAAAATAAATGAACAATCATGTTTGTATATGTATATTTCTAGGTAAACTGAAATACCGTTTTTTAAATAGGATCTGGGCTTAGTATTTCTAGTGCTTTAAGAGGTGTTTACGTAGAATGTTAACACCCAGAGCCTGTGATGATAAGTGCAAAGTTGCTTGCATTCTTTCATAATTAGAAGAGCTTTGTTTTTTTTTATTGGGAACCCAAATCTGCAAAAGGCAAGGTTGAGTGTGACAAAAATAAACTCTTAATATGTGTATTGCTAGTTATCAGTGATACAAAAGCAGAAATAAATTAACTTTTACAGCTTGTTATTGCTCTGTGGCTAAACCTATTGTGTACCAATCAAACAAGTCTGCTTTACAGTCACTTCAAAGAAGAAAGGTAAATATCTCCACATCTCTTAAACTACACAACATTCTCTATCTACTTTTATTCTTTTTTTCATTAACATTTAAAATTCCATTTAGGCAAAAGCTGATGAGGAATGCAGTTGAATATATGCTGAAGTAAATCTGAAAATAATTGATTTTATTCAACTGAATTTATGAAATTATTGGAATTATTCTGATTTTAAAAAATGATTAATTATTGGTTCTTCCAGGGTTTTACTGTGAACTCTCTATGATGATGTTGTAAAATGAACAGTATGGCATAAGAGCACTTGATTCTTATGATTTCTGAAGGGAAATAGAATCCCAGAGAATAATATACAGTATGAAAAGACAAATGTTTTGGGGGGATTTTGTTAATGTGGATTGAACTTTCATTTAGGTAAAAGAGATGGTCCCTTATACAACTTGTGGGAAGTGCATGAGAGTGACATGTGGTATTGGGACGGTCTTTTTCTGGGTAAAGTATTCATGGTTTACATTCATACATTAATACATTATAAATAGAAAATGTACAAATACACATTATATAGTAATAACAAGTGTATCCCTTATTTGCTTAATTATTTATAATCTTATTTTCTTATTTAAAAAATTATTTGTTTCTGTTATTAATTAGCTCCTAGTGATTGGATAAGCTACTGTAGTTGGGTCAATGGCCTACTCTCATTTCCATTTTTATGTTACATGGGTAGGTTACCTTGCAAAATCTGTATGCGTGCATTAGAGTTGTGTAGTCCATAGGAAGACAGAAAGTGAGATATATAACTTCTTAAGATAAAATCTGTATACTTAGTAGAGACAATGAAACCTACAGAAGTATTTTGTAAAGGTTAAAGAATAAACCAGCCTGGTGACTATATTTCAGTGTTAAAATCTACACAAATAAAACCAATCACTGAAGCAGGAGCAAATGTTCTTTTGAAATTAAGGTGTATAAATATACTGTGTAAACATATTAGTAATTGCATTGCTCATAATGTCATCAATTTGAATTTTGAAGTAAAATAGCTGTGTAGTTGAAAAGGCTCACATACACACTCATATATTATAAACTTCTAGATCTAACCCCCTGCTTTTTTGTGTTCTATTTTTTAGATCTTATTGATTATTGCCTCAGTAGTTGGAATTATAGTGTATCGTCTTGCGGTGTTCTTCTCTTTCTCTGCAAACTTGAGGAGAGAAATAAAAGAACTGGAGCCCTTCAAGGAGTATGTTACTCCCCAGATGGCCACTTCAGTAACAGCCTCTATCATTAGCTTTATCATCATCATGATCCTCAACATTGTCTATGAGAGAGTGGCAATCTTGATCACTGATTTTGGTAAGACGAAATCTAAAATCTAAATCCTGATCTTACTGAAACAATGTTTTGCAAATTACAAAATTACATTGAGTCCTATTGAGTTGGCTGTTGACATTCAACTCTGAATGTACACTCCCTCAGACTTAGAAATGTATTAAATTGATTGAAATGTTAGTTATTCATTGAATAAATTCAATTGTGTAAGATGTTAAGCAAAAAAAAAGATTTTCTTTGGTTGGTGTAATCCAAACTTAAAATTATGTTTTACTCTTTAAAGCAAACCTTTTAATTTAAAAATTATTTCAGAATGCTTTACTTTATAGCAGGAATCTCAAACTTAACTCCTGGAGGGCCCAGAGGGCCTATGGTTTTTGCTATATTGAAGTCATTTACATAGCTGGTCTAATTCTACATAATTGTGATACAATACACTACTTCTAACTGGCACTGATGTTATTCATAAGTGAATGTCTTGTGTAATCAACTGTAAAAAGATCATAAAAATATCTTATGGGTCTAAATTTGGAAAATGAGTTAATTATTTAATTGACCACTAAGGTTGGGGAAAAAAAAAGAAATCAAGGCCCCCAGGAAATTAATTTGAGACCCCTGTTTCATAAGAAAGAAAAGTTAACCATATTAGAAACAGTTTCTGTATGAATGGATATGAAATGCATAATTTAGATGCAGTAGTATTTAAGGTGTGTTAGTAATTTAGATGTGGTATTTTTTAATAAATATGAAACCAAACACAACTTTGGTTCTTATCTGAGAACTAGATGCATCACTTTTTTAATTGTGCTATTTCTAGAACTGCCAAGGACGAAGACCGAATACGAGAATAGTTTAACCATGAAGATGTTTCTTTTCCAATTTGTCAACTACTACTCCTCCTGCTTCTATATTGCCTTTTTCAAAGGCAAGTTTGTTGGTCATCCTGGGGATCCAGTGTATTGGCTCGGGAAGTACAGGAATGAGGAGGTGAGCTCACAGATGTAAAAGCTAGACAATGAGGACATCCTGCTTATGGAAAGTCTACGTTCTAAGCATGAGTTTCAGACCCCCTTAGTTTGTGATGTAATACATATACTGCCCTCCAGAGAAGAAAAATAGGCAGATTCGAAGATCCAAAGCAAACTCTTCATTAAAGCAAACACTATAAGTTGTCAAATTTTACCTTTTAATACAAGATCATTTGCAGACTTGAAATCTGTAAGCATCTTCAGTTCTGCATGGAATTATATTGAAACAGTAAATATTAAAGAGCAGGTTAAAAATGTAATGCAGCACAGTTATTGTTAAGGATTTCAGACAGCACATGCATGTAGTATGTTCATTTAGAATCTGCCTTCTGTGTCTGAATGCAGTGCGATCCTGGTGGCTGCCTCCTTGAGCTGACGACTCAGCTGACAATCATAATGGGCGGCAAAGCCATTTGGAACAATGTGCAAGAAGTGCTGATTCCGTAAGTATAGCTATATGCCCCAGTACCTTCAACTAGAGCAGGGCACTGCAAGAATTTGTGCATTTATACCCGTCTCTCCGTCAAACCAAGTTTTGGGATTTGGTTTAATAGATGGTGTTTACAGGCAGCTGTATTTGATTGTCCACAGTTCAGATTATGCTGTCATACGTGACAGAGTCATTTGCTAAGATCTTTCCATGGTATAGTTCTTCACTTTTGTTAGCAAAAAAACCCTTTTGTCATCCCTCACGTCAGTGTTTGTAGTATATTAAAAAGTAGATCCTTTGAAGGATGTAAAAAAATCTCTTTGCATGTAATGCAAATTTAGATTATTCCTGCAATCTTGCAGATTGTTTCTTGCATAAATGTCTGCAAGGAATTAATACAGGCAGTTCCTAAACAAGCAGTAATTTTTTAACATGAATATTGCATGTCATGGACGTTTTGGAATAATGTTACTGCACATACAGTGGGTATTGAAAGTATTGACCCCCCATTGTATATAACTACAGGTTGTTGTGTTACCACTGGAGAACTCAATAAACTTACATAATTTTTTATTCATAGTCATACACCATCCTCTACAATACCAATGTGTTTAAAAGTTTAGCGCTAAAAAAATAAGTGAAAAACTTCGTTGAAAAGTATTCACCTACTTAGCATGATCAAATAAACTCTACTTCAACCAGTTGCCTTCAGAATTTGCAGTTTGTTGATTGGAATCCACCTGTGTGCAATTAAAATGGTTAACTATTCAGATTGAACACACCTGTTTTTGTCAATTTTAATTATATCTGTCAGTGTGAGTTTCTTCTGTTGGAAATTGCATACAAATCAATTAAAAGACGAAGGAGCACCACAGTGTACTGTTAAATTAATTATCAGGAATTGTAGGACAATAAAACTACACTGAATCTTCAATGACCAGGTGGTTTTCCACAACTCGGTAGCCAGGCTAGAAGATCATTAGTGAGAGAAGCATCAAACATCAAAGACCTACAGTGTCTCGTAACTGTGAGAGTCACTGATAGCTGAGGTATTCCACAAATCTGGGTAGTATGGTAGAGTGGTAAGGGAGGAAACCATATTTGGAAAAAAAACTCACATGAAGTCTCGTCTTGAATATGGAAAAAGGCATGTGGGAGGCTCTGAAATGATGTGGGGTAGAAAAAAAAACTTTGTAGTTTGAGTAATTTGTCCTTAATGCCAAGTGTTATGTCATGTGAAGAAGAGCACTGCTCATTACTCACAAAATGCCATTGAAAGATGGTGATGGCAACATAGTATTGTGTGGTTGCTTTTTGTATGCAGGGACTAGTAGGCATGTCAAATTAGAGGGCAGAATGGGTAGAGAAAAATATATTCAGATCCTGGAGCAAAACCTGGAACAATCTGCAAAAGATCTGATACTGGAGATGGATATTTCAACAGGACAAGGACTCCAAACACAAAGCCAAAGCAAACCTTGGGTGGCTTAAAAACAAGGTGAAAGTCCTTAAGTGGCCCAGTCAAACTCCAGACATAAATCCTATAGAAAATCTGAGACGGGAACTAAAGATTGCTAAACACCACTGCTCCCCCATTAACCTGCAAGAGCTGGAACAGTGAAGAAGAGTGGGTAAAAATTAAACCCACAAGATGTGAAAAACTAGTTGCAGTATGCCATAAAAGATTTTAAGCTGTATGTTCTGCAAAATGATGAGCAACTAAATATTAAATGCTTCAGGTCTCAAAGGGGTAAATACTTGTCCGTGGTGGATTTTTTTAAGTTTCTATTTTTCATAACATTTACTTTTACAATTAAAATGATAATGCCCCATCAAAATGTTAACTATGTTTTGTTAATTGTACAAAATGTGCAAATGAGTTGCAATTTGAGGCTGTAACACAGCAAAATGTGACAGAGGTCCAAGGAGTCCAAAATCCAACTTTCTATACACACTGTATATATCCCAGGTGTGGTATTGGTATGGTAGAAAAAAAAGATAAGCTCACACATGAGTAAAATGAGGGACTATTAAACTGGTGTTATCCGTGATTAAATGGTTTTCTTCCTGTTTTTACCCATGTAAAATTTGATTTTTCAATGTTCCAATGTATGAATTAGCATATTCCGCAGAAGATAACATTAATGTGAAGTTTCCATATAACAATCCCTCTGCTCTGTGGGACTAGCAGTGAATCAGGTGTCATAAGATGAACCTGCTCGCTGGGTGAAAGGCAACTGAGACCCAGGGGAACTACTAGTACACTGAAGAGCTGCGCAGCCAGTGCGCAATCAGGAGAGTAGAGCAGAGCACAGCAGCGTGCAGGCAAAATGGTGCTGCAGCAGGCTTAGGACTTGGGAAGTAAAGTTCATGTTTATGGCCAAGCAGACAGGGATCAAAAGCCAGTGAATCCAAGACAAAGCACAGTTCAGAGCACAAAGGGGGATCTAGAGGTATGGTAAGAATGAAGCATGGTAGATTTTGATCTTGACATGAGATGTTTTTCCATTACCCTGTGTGGTGAAGACCAAACTCACTAAATTCCTGACCATTATATAGGACAGGGCTGCTCAAACACAGTCCTTATTTATTTTATATCAATTTATTTAATGATTTGATGTTATTTCCACCTTTTATTTTATTAAGTAGACTAGAGGTTCAGTTATTTCACTTACACCATTTCTGCTTTCTACAAAGCATGACATATAAATAGTAAGTATAGCTATATAAACCCTTTGATTACTTAAGGAAAAGGCTTCGAATCCAAAGGGTTTCATGGAATTACATTGTAATACCCATAAATGTAGTGGGGTGTTCACAAATGATGTCGGTTTTTTTTTAGTTTTTAATATATTGCAATTAACTACATATACAATTCATATGTAAAAGGAGAAAATAAATTATAATGACAACCATAATAGTAATTGCATATTTCCAATAAAATGGGTTGTACTCGCAGCTCTTAAGAAGCACCTTGTAGAATGTATCTTTTGTGACTCAGTGAGTAGGCAAATCCAATTATGTACTCACAACAAATAACATAACATCACTTTATTAGCCCTATACAATTTCTTGCATTAGGAATTTCTTTTCACAATACCCCAGCTTGCTCTCCATGAGAGGCAGACACACAGACAGGGAGAGAGAAGCATGGGGTCAGAGCACAGGGTCAGCCATTGTACAGCACCCCTGGAGCAGCTGGGGTTAAGGGCCTTGCTCAGGGGCCCAATGGAGTAGGATTCCTCTGCCAGCTGCAGAACCAGCAACCTTCCAGCCAGAGGTGCAGATCCTTAGCCACAGAGCCACCACTCTAACCGGGATGGGATTTGTTCAGTTAAGATTCTGATGTTGCATCTAATTAGAAAAGTGGCTTACAGTATGTATCGCCTTTTACATTTTAGATGGTTGAAGAATCTGATATCCCGTTACTGCATGAGTGTAGGATCAGAAAAAGTCATCCCACGGTGGGAACAAGACTACCAGCTGCAGCCCATGGGAAAGCTGGGCTTATTTTATGAATACCTGGAGATGGGTAAGCACCATTTAGAACTGCTTAGTTCTTGCACCGTTTTATTTCCCATGGAGTAAGCAGAACAGTATTTGAGAAGTGCACTGCTATAGTTACATAATTATTTGTTTCTTCATTTAGTAAAAAGTTATAACAAAACTGAGTTTTTGTAGTTTGGAATATTATTCATTTACTAGCCAAGAATATCAGACTTGTGGAGCTGTAACAAAAGACTTCATCCATAGAGAGGAGGAGGCTAGCATGGACTGGAATCTTGGCATTTTCTTGTTAGGCATAACACTTAATGATAAATGAGATATCAGCAAACTTGAAAATCTCTGCATTTGCAAAAATTTGTTGGTTTTACATAAATGAGAAAGGAGAAAATGAATAGATGTGAGTTTTAACTGTTGGGAAAACATAAAACACAATACCCCTCTCTTTCTTGCAAAAAAGGTAGACTTTTTTTTACAGTTAAAAGTTAAAATAAAAAAATAGGTTTTGTGGGATCCCAGGAATGTATTTTATAGGCCAGGGCAGAGGATATCTTTAGACAGCCTGAAATCTCTCACCAGTACATGTGAATTCCTATAAACCTTCTCTGATCCTTAACCAAGGTTCCCTAACAAAGAAACCAAAAAAAGACTGCCATTCCTGTCCACAGGATGTCTGAACTTGTGACAGCTTTGAATATAGTAAAGGGCAGTACCACAAGCCCGGTCATATTGCATAAGTCTTGTGTTAAGAAACAGCAAGTGATTTTTAACTCCATATTCGAGCTACTGTGGCACAAAATGCATGACAACAGCATATCTAAAGTATAATACATCAGATCTGATGTATTATAAGACATTTTTATTAATAAATGGATCCACAGTACATTATATATATATGCAATACATTTTGGGTGGTAAGACCATTTCAATAACTGTGTTTTCTTTCATTTAGTGATCCAGTTTGGCTTTGTCACCTTGTTTGTGGCCTCCTTCCCTCTGGCACCTCTCTTGGCTCTCCTCAATAACATCTTTGAGATCAGAGTGGATGCCTGGAAAATTACTACTCAGTTTCAGCGCGGGGTGCCAGAGAAAACACAAGACATTGGTGCCTGGCAGCCCATCCTTCAGGGCATTGCCATTCTTGCTGTGGCAACAAATGTAAGCAGACGTTTATATGTTCCGTTAGAGTGTACTCTGTCAGCATGAGAATAGTTTTCAGTTCCTTACAAAAGGAGGATCTAAATAGTTACACACATACTGTAAACACTCAACAGCCAGTTCCGTGTTATGAAAATGAAAAAAAGTATATCCCAAACAGTCAGTTTAAAGTTTGTATTTACTTGGTACTTGTTGTACAGTACATACTTTTTTGTGTGTTTTGTACTTGCCACTGTTTTCACTGTTTATTGTTCCCATAACCTACTAGCATTCCCAGAAAAATAGTGTTGCAAATGGCTTCTACTATCTGACTGCTAAGGATCTATTTGGGGAATTAAATTTGCATACTGCTAAGCTCTGAAGCACATTGGTGGAGGATGGTCACAAGTCCTACGCAAATGTGTGAGCTACTCTGAAAATCTTTTCTGCCTGGCTTTTTTGTATTATCTTGGAGGTTTGTTTTCAGAAGGAGCTGTTTTGGATAATTATTAGAATAGTATAATAATAACTTCAACATATCAGATAACCATTAAAAACCATAAAGGTTGCAAATGAGAAGAAGCAATTAAGCCCTTTCTAGAATGTTTGGGTTTTAGTTACATAAATTAGAGCTAAACTGTGTTATACTTAATGAATCCAAATTTAGGAAAACATTCATTTCATTATTGTTTTTTTATTTCCATTGCTTTGTCTTCCCACAGGCCATGATCATTGCTTTTACATCTGACATGATTCCAAGATTAGTTTACTACTGGTCTTTCTCTGTGTATCCATATGGGGATCATGCTGAATACACCATGAGAGGCTATATCAACAGCACTCTGTCCATCTTTAGAATTGATGACTTTTCAAATGCCAGCAAGCCTTTGCCAGAAAAAAATCCATACTGGTTTGATACTGAAAATATCACCACTTGTAGGTAAGTATCTGATATTTAAAGGGATTTGAGCTTTGTAAACTGTTCGTCATACAGCAGTGCTATAGCCCAAATTACAAAATGCTTAAAATGTTTGAGATAATACGCTCTACAAATTGACACTCCTATACTCCAAAACAACTCCATTGTTTTGTTGTGCAAATCTTTGATATGAAGAATATACTGTATTTACCTCTACATATAAGCGTTCTAGAATCACACAAGTGACATCTTGGTTATTTTTGAATACCATTTAACAGGTCTATATAATACTTCTAAAAAACAAATTCTATTTTTTTCTACTGCTTCCTAAAAACAAATGCATAGTTCATAATTGTTCTCAGTCTATTGTTTCCTGAGGACAGTCAATGAAGCTCATGAAGTGTATTTGAAATTTATGGAACTAAGCTATCGCAGGTAGTTTTGTAAAGGTCACATAGCTCTTAGGATCTGCTGTACCAGTTGTTTCTCCCCATTTCCTATATAAATCAAATTTCAAGTTGTTGCTTTAATGACAATTTACAAAGAAAACAGCTTCATGAAACCTCAGTCTCATTTTCTATGGCATGCATGTAAGACAGCAGTATCCTATTCATTTACTCAGTCAAGCTTGTGCAACATAAATGTATATATGTGACTTCACAATTGAATAGAACACTTTGAATTTCACACAGTCTTCCATAAACCCCCAAGACTATAACGCTTTACCAAAGGAACTGACTTTGTCCTGAATGTTAAACACTACATTACAAAATGTTGAGCACTGCATTAATCATTGTAAATAAAGTAATGAGCATTTGACACTTTATTAAGCATGTTCTTTACAAACCTGCAGCATAAGATACTGGGAGATTTCAATAAAGGGATTGCTCACAAAAAAGAGGTTTACAAACAATATCACAACTTTTACAATACCACCTATTAACTGGTCAAGTTTATCTTTGTAGATACCGGGACCTCAGATATCCACCTGGACACCCCAGACAATACGAACACAGCATTTACTACTGGCATGTCATTGCTGCCAAACTGGCTTTCATTGTAGTTGTGGAGGTGAGTTATTATTTTTGTTTTGTTTTGTTTAATTTTAGTCAATTTGTACATATTGCTGCTTTTTTGCATAATCTTTCCAGACATGTACTGGATAGGCAGATAAACTTCAGGGGTAAAATACTGTATTTTGTATATTGTGTTTTTGATTTTGATTTTATAATGTGCCAACCAAAAATATTTGGAAAAATTGCTATTTTTTCTGCATACTACTTATGCAATTTGAGATGAAAAGGTTAATATGAGTAACAAATTATTTTAAGTTAATTTATCCCAATGCTTAGGTTATCCTAAAATGGGAAATGGAAAACAAAAAATATAAAAATATATTATTCTTAAACATTTAAAGCATAGAGCAAAAGTAGCAATTTTGACTTCTTTGTTCCAGTTCTTATGGAGGGCATTGTACAGTACCTCCCATTACAAGGGAATAAGCAGTCATTGTATCTTAACTAGATACCAGGTTTGCAAAACATTGCCGTCTGGAACATAGGATGTGTTAAGTTAATTGTGTTAAACAATGCAGTTGTAATCATTTGAAAGCAATATTATTGGGATGCATCATCATTCAAAAACTGGTGAAAATAACTGCATTATCATGTAAACATAATCAACTGCAGGACTTACAGTGCCTTGCAAAAGTATTCACCCCACGTGTTATTGTGTTACAGCAAGGAACCATGATGTATTTAACTGAGAATTGATGTCACTTATCAACACAAAGTACTCTATAATGTCAAAGTGAAAATCCAGAAATTTTACTAAATTAAAAATAAAAAACGGAAAATAACTGAATTTATAAGTAACTCCCTCCCCAGAGTTAATACTTGGTAGTAATTAAAGCTGTGAGTCTCTTTGGGTTAGTCTCTATCAGTGTTGCACATCTTGACACTGGAATTTTTGCCCATTTTTCTTGGCAAAATTGCTCAAGCTCCATCAAGTTGGAGGGAGACCGTTTGTGAACAGCAATTTTTAAGTTATTCCTCAGATGCTCAATTGGATTGAGGTCTGGGCTTTGACTGGGCCACACCAGGACATTAACCTTTTTGGTTTTAAGTCACTCCAGTGTGGCTTTTGCTGTATGTTTCGGGTCATTGTCTTGTTGGAAGATGAATCATCTTCCAAGTCCCAGTGCTCTTGCAGATTCCAGCATGTTTTCCTCCAGGATTTGCTGTAGACAAGCATCCCCAAGCCATGATGCTGCCAACACCATTCTTTACTGTAGGGATGGTGTTCTCAGTGTGATGTTAGGTTTGCACCAAACATATAGTTCAATTTTGGTCTCATCAGACCATAGAATCTTCCTCCAAATTGAGTCTCTCACATCCCTTTGGGCAAACTCCAGCTGAGATGTGATATAGGTGATTTTTCAACAAAGGCTTTCTTCTTGCCACCCTTCTGTACAAGCCAGATTTATGAAGTGTGCGTGCTATTGTTGTCTCATGCACAGTTTCTCCCATCTCTGTCATGGAGGACTGTAACTCCTTTAGAGTTGCCTTAGGCCTTTTTGTGGCCTCCCTTACTACGGCTCTTCTTGCCTGCACACTCAGTTTTGGAGGATAGCCAGTTCTGGGCAGATTCAAATTTGTTAAATATTTTCTTACCTTCACTGTGATGGACTTCACTTTGCTTTGAGGAATATTAAATACCTTGGAAATTTTATTTTATCCTTGCCCTGACTAGTATTTTTCACGTACCTTGTCTGGGATCTGCTTGGGATGTTCCTCGGTCATCATGGTGTAGTGTTTCCTTGGAAATGCACTAACTAAGTGGGGAAGCTCCCAGAATTCTGAAATCATGTGAAACACCTCAGCTGCACACATGTGGACTCCAGTCAAGTAATTATATGACTTCAGAGGTATGACTTAATAAGTATTACTTCAGAGGTAATTTAGGTGTGTCTAAGCAAGGGGGTGAATACTTATGGATTCAATTATTTTCTGTTTTTTATTTTTAATTAATTTAGTAAAATGTCTGGATTTTGTTTTTCCACTTTGACATTATAGAGTACTTTGTGTTTTTGAGTGGCAAAACGTCTTGGGTAAATACAACATGGTTCCATGCTGTAACAATAAAATGTGAAAAAATCCAAGGGGGACTTTTGCAAGGCACTGTAAATGTGAGTCAAACACCCTAAAGGATTAGTGTTGCACATTGAGTGATTGAGAGGTGCTTGTTTTGTAATTCAAACTTGTTTACAGAATTAAACTAGGAAACTGCAAAAAACAAGCTTGAAAGAAAATCTGTATTTAACTGTACTCTTCTTTTTTATTGATTGAAGAAATTGACTCATTTCTTTGATTTTCTTACATTATATTTCTTTACTGTCTTTTAAAGATTGTAATGTGGTCCTGAACTTCCAAAGGTCTATGTTGGCACTACATGGCTTACACTAATATAAAGATTCCATAGCCACATAATCCATGATGTCTCATTGAACACTGTAGTTGTACAGTATGTGTTCAATTGTTATATCTTACAATATGTGTGATTAGCCTGTTGTTTGCTATTTCATAATTGTGTGATATGGGTAGGATTTTCAGAAAATAATGTATAGCCTGGACTGCACATTTAAACATTATTTTGGCAAGACCTTAAATCGTCATTGGTCTAAGCAACAAAGTTTGTTGGTTACTGTATATCATGAAAGGTAGAGTGGATTTCTTGACGAATGCTCTTGAATAGGAAAATATTTTGTTATCAATTCTATGAATGCCAAAAGAAGCACCCTATAGACAAATTTTGACAGTACAATGTTAATCCTTGAAAAAAACACCCTATGAACAAAATGACCAGACTTTATAAGGTTTTTTAATAGAAAATATGCATATATTCTATTTAACATACATTATGTCTCCTAATGAACATTTTTTCTGTCCACATCATGCTCATAATAAAATCACACCTCTGTCTATTACATGACACAATTGTTTTCCATTACATCTTCCTTGAACTATTCTGCCTGGAAGTATCAGTTTAAGGCTGTATTTGAGGCTATCTCAACATTTTGAAGCTAGCCAAATAAATTATAGGTAAAAGGGGTATTGAAAAATGCACAGGTTCTGATCATTGGTGAAATTCATAGCAGCACTGAAAAATCAGGGTCATGTTTCTCTAAAACTTACTCATCTTGTGTTTTTATTTCCAGCACGTTGTGTACTTCACAAAGTTTATCCTGTCCTATGGTATTCCTGATGTGCCTTTAGAAGTAAAAGAGCAGATCAAACGGGAGAAGTATTTAACCCAGAAACTACTTCATGAAGCCAACCTCAAATTGGTGACCAAACGTTTGAAACCTGTGGCTGATAACATTCTAAGAAATACGGATGGTGAGTTTAGGCCACCATTTGTTCCAAGTCAGTGAACAGGAACTGTTGTCTAGAGGACTTTGTCAAGAAGAGAAACACATTGAGACTCTTGATTGTTATTTTTTAAATGTTGATATTATTGTAACACATCAATGAATATTATGTTTTTGGGAAAGCCTTACAATCTCAACAGAGAACTCACAATGAGAATTGCTCAAAGCACTGTAAAATTGTGGTTATATCTTGTATCTTGTGGAGGACAAGTCTTTTTTTATATTATAGCAGCAAGTGCTAGATGGCACATTAAACAAATATTAGGCAGCCTCTTCAGGGGTTACACTGTCCAAAGCCACACAAGTAACCTAGTCCTTGATTATCAGACCTACAGCTTTCTGGTTTTCTTTCTTTACTGTATGCTGGTTCAGAGACAACATACCAGATCCAGCACAGGATGGCCAGACCATGTAATTCATGATGCTGATAAAGAAAAAAGCATGTGAAATGCATAAAACAGTCACTAGCAAAACTGACTCAAGGGGTACAGTAAGTATTCTTGAGGTACAGTTTAGTCACACTATTGTATATCCTCAGTGTGAAAACTAGTAGAGAAGAAGTTGAAAGGGAAGTGGCAGATGTCTGCTCAGAGAGTACTGAAGTCTTTAGAAATTACCTTAGCTCATTGTGCAGAAAAAAAAGTTTCAATTAAATAGTAATTAAGGCTCTGTGTGTTAGCTTATGTGTAGAGGGCATGAAAATATAAAACCTGCCCTATTTTGAAGGGGTACATAAAATGTAAATGTTATGTGAAATGCGTTTGTCAGCCTACCTTATATTTTGTATCTATGATCATATATATATATCATCCAGCAAATGTAAAGTAAATTGACAATTAGTTCAGAAATTAATGGGTAAAGGTTCCACATTTGGAAAGTAAAAATGTTGTGCTGGCTGTTCCTTTGCAGCTCACACACTCACAGAGCTCACCTTTCTAAAGTCAGGAAGCATGCATAGTAAAATCACATACTTGGATTGGATATGCCTTGTTTTCGTAAACTGTAGCATACTTTCCTCTTGAAATTAATATGGGCAGCATGGATGAGAAAACAAAATCCCTCAAACTCCTACAGTATAAATAAAAGAAAACCACTCTATGAGTTGCCACTGTTGCACTTTCAGATCACCTAGTCTTTAAATTATTACCATCATGCCTTTGTTTTGGGAATCGACCACTATCCCCACCACTAAAGACATCCTGTGCTCTCTGTGCTTTGACTTTAATCTTTCACCCTAAGAAGCTGTGAATATAATTGTTTTTTGGGTGTTTTCCTGTAATGTCACACCTAGCAGAACGAAAAAGCGATTGTCATGTCTTGAAACTTTTTCTTGTTATAATAGTGTAAAAGTCTTACAGCGTAACAATACAATATTTTTGTTTGTTTAGTTAGGTTTTATTAATATCTGCGTCCAGGTGTATGTCTTAAAATGTGAAAAAATAAGTATGGTACAGCAGTTCTATGCCTAGTATATACTGCAGGGAAAAATGGAGAAATGGAGGAAAAATTGTGAGGTGAGAACTTTTAGTCTTGACCCTCAGATATCAGTGGTAAGACAAAGTTTCATCTGATATTTTACTTTATTAAACCTTTATAAGATTATGTACATTTTACTGGGGGTGTTTTTCTGACCTGTTGGCAATAGCCATGTATGAGTTATAGCATAATTTGTCAAGCCATAAGGAATTCTGACACTGTGTCTTGTCAGATGTTCTGTTCTAAAAACGTTTTTATTTAAAAATAATTTCTGGTATTGGATATTAGCTATGCAATATATGAATCTGAATGTATCTCTGCATATTTGAGTTGTCATATTCAACTTGCTCTTCAGTGTTCCTGTTGTTCATGTTTTATTTCCTTACTAAATATATAACTGGTTTTATTCAGAATTATTAAACAAGAGTTGGAGCATCCAGTTTGGGAAGTTTTGGGAGTGCAGCTGGATAGTACCACAATATATTGTTTCATATTTGTTTATTTCAACATGTATTTACAGCATTTGCACAATATAGATTTAGTCAGAAATGAAGCTTGTGGTTTTCAGCTTTTTTTTATGAATGCTTTTACCCTTTTATATTTGTCTGTAATTATGATGTACCTGCAATTACAGTTACTGCTTATGTATCTTTAGTTTTAAAATGGTGTTACTAAATAAGGTCATATCGCATAACTGATACCTCATCAATTAGTTATTTTTCTTACACAGAATTTTACTAGATGATTACTTCTGCAGTTTGACACATATAGAATACAAGAAACTTATAGTGCCAATTAAAGAATTTACAAATAGCATTGTATTATATTTAAAAAGAAGTCTTTATTATATATATGCTTAAATACAGTATATAAATAACAAAAATGCACAAGCAAAAAAGCCCTAATTAGTTACAGTAGGTAATTCCATAAACACTGCACACTAACATGACAGCCTCACGTGCCTTGAAGCCTTCAATGATAATGCTAAATGTATAAGATACTGACTTTGTGACTTGCATTTACATCCCCCGTGTGATGTTAATGGACCTAGAATTTAAAAACATGGATAACAGAGGTGTGTATACTGTTTAAGGAATGCTTCTTGCATTTGAGATGTTGTGTTTTTTAGTATTTATAACTCAAGAGTGAACCAGTTTATGTACGTCATGGTGCCAACTATTCAAAATTATAAGCAGAGCTTATCATTACACACACACATTTTACTTATTATTTTGACAGACGTTTTAAAGTAACAGATTGTTCATCCATGTCTATCAAATCCATTCTCAATAAATGCAGATTCTGCTTTTGTAGAAAACTTTAATTAGACCCCTGCCTTGACAACTCACATGAATGCTAATGCTTTCTTTTGCTGAAAGGTCTTGCCATTATTAAGCTTTTAGGCATGTTGTCATACTTACACCTGCATCAACACCAGTCCATGCAATCAAAGCACCATTTTCAGGATGAAAATCGATATGACCTGTGTGTAGTTAATCAGTACTTACCCATGGATTTTTAGGAGCAGAAATGATGGTATTCCACCCAGAACGTTTCCTGGCTCTGTGCTTGTTTGATGGTTCGCTCTTGGCTCCAAATCTGTTTTGTTTTTAACCACATCTAGTGGATCGCCCTTGTGTTTTGCTTGGATTCCCGTGTACTGAAACTGCCTGTCGGTTTTGGACTAACCTTGTATTTGGAAATTTGCCTGACTCACATTTTGTTTTTGGATTTTCCTTTTCACATTTTGTTTTTGGAACCCCAGCTCTGATCCCTGCTTGCTTTCGGTTTTGATTTTGTCTTGTGCTTTGGGTTGTCCTGCTTCACTCTTGCTAGCTGCTTGTTGGAGCTTGATCACCTAAGAGCCCCCTAGAGTCGTCAACTTCCACTTTCAAGACCACTGACCAGATCATTATGATTCCATGCAGCCTTTTTTGAGGCAGTATGTATTTAAAGAGTACATTATCAAAAAGAGAGAGAGGCTTGATTAACATCTGAGTACTAGGTATATTTTGTTTCACTAAAAATTACTTTCCTAGTAATTGAAATTGAAATATGTTGCATACCTCCACTACGTAACTAAGATGTAGGTTGTCAATACCCAAGTTTGTGGTGCTACTAGTGTTTACTAAAGTGTTACAGTAGGCTTTTCACACTTTTGATTAGTTGAAATTTAATAGCCACAAAATGATGACAAATTGTTTCTCTTAACTGAAACAGGCATGCAGTGGTTTAATTAGTAGATTTTGTGTATCAGGATCTTATGTATGTCTTTATCCTGTTTGTGCTTTGCATTTCTGTACCATTGAAATGGTTTCAGTTTTTAATGACCAGTTTCGTTACTGCTTAAGTGAAGAACCAGACTAAGGTTGAAAGCAATTATTTACATCTTACTGAATAGCTGAGCTATGCAAAAAAGAAAACCAGGCAAAGGAAAGGATATGTAAAGAAAAAATACAGAAAATAAAGACAATTGATTCCATGTAAATAAAACTTTGGGGATTTCAGTTCTTTATATAAAATGGCTAAATTCATCAATTGTATTGAACTAAGGATGTATGAATTTTCAAGTTTTTTTTAAATGTAGAAACTGACAGAGCTTGCACAGTTGTAGTGAAAATGCTGCATTTATCATGTTTAACTTGTAGTAGTTTCAGCTTGTAAAATCTGTGGGCCATATTGGTTTATAAAATATTGCCTTTGTATATTAAAGTTTATTTGATATAATTGTTTTTTTTCTAACATATAAAGCTCACTATTTCTATACAGTATGCACTTCTATTGTGGAACAAATGTTTTTCAGCAACCTGTGGTTTATTAATACATGTCTTTTGTATTCTTATACAACATATAAATGCATACTATTTATATTTGTCTTTTTGTTTAAATAAAGAAAGGGAAAATGTATTTTGTCTGTTTTATTACGAAAATGGAAAATATTTAATTCCAGAAAAATTAATGGATCTTTTAAACAGTTTTAAAATTCTCATACATCATTTTTCAATCGAGTCTAATAATCCCAATTTATAAATTTAATTTATAGAGCACATTTATAAAGACCTTTGGAGCTTTTAGATTGACGGCTGTTTTTGCAGTAATAAAACAATGCAGAAAAAAGATAGTATATACAGTGTGCATGTACAGTACATTCTTTAAATAAATACATAATAGCAAAATGAATAAAATATTAGAGTGCCTTGTAATTGTTTTCACCCCCCTTACAATAATGCTACATTTTATTTAATTGCAAATTGATAATACTTGCAAAATATTTTTTGTATATGCAAAAAGGGAGTATTTTAATCAAACTATGCAGAAAATGGAAATCTGATAACTTTTTCCTAATTGGTGAAGTTAAGTCACCAAAGAAAAATCAAAAGCTAAATTACTTTGAAAATCTGTGCAATTAGTTGAGTTGATTCTGTGTGAAATAATAGCGGTTCACATAATTTCAGAATAAATACATCTGTAAAGTTTTTCACTCCTATTCAACCAAGAGCTTTCAAACTAGCTCAGGGACAAATTAGAAGTAAGGCACAGATGATGAGAAAAGTATAAAAAAAGTCAAAGGGACCGGATATTGTTATTGTATTATTTAAAGCACATTTCTCTCTTGCTTCCCATTTCCCTTAATATCAAGATATTACAAGAACAACTCATTAATAACTCCATAAAAATGTCCTCAATGTTTCTTATATATTGTTGTATGTTGTGCCACCTCTTCTGTTGGAAGGAATATGAGAATGAAAATACATTGGAAAATTTAATTTAAAATCACTGCAGGAGAAGTGGCACTCAAGGTCGATCTTCACCCAAGAGTGGTGGCAGGAGAAATGCAAAAATACTGAAAGGACTAATGTTTTTTTTTGGAATGACAAACGCATTCTTCACAAACACAAAAAAGATTACAGATTTAAAGTCTGCTAAACTAACTTAACTTTCAATATATTGTTTTCTACATAAGACGTTTGGTGAAGGGCAGCTTTTATTTATGGTTTGTATTTTTTGTTTGTAGATTTTTGTATTTTGGAGTACAGATGTTTATATTTTAAAAGGGAAACAAGGTCTTGTGTGAGTAGCTGTTAGGCGAGGAGCAGTTTCTTGGATAGCTTGAATGACAGTGGAGAAACAATGAGTGAAAAAAGAACTGTGCTGCTCTGGTTAGGTTTTGCTTTTAGATTACTATTGCCTTCTCTGTTTGAGAGAAGAAATAAAATCAGTTTATTGTAGCTTGATATCACATCCGAATTGCCAGGAGAACACAGAAATCCCTTTTAATTGCTGAAATTTTGAAAGAGTATCACAACATATTTTAAAATAAGTAGGTTTTGAAACATGAATGACTTAATCAGTAATACAGTTGGCCTTAAGTTATCACTGCTCCTCAAATCAGTCACTTGTATGGCCTGTGCTGTTTGTTTCTTTTTTCTGTTCATCCTGTGAGATTTCCTGTTGTTTGTGCTACATAGAGTAGTTCTCTTACTGTACCTTTGATGCATAAATAGCATCTGAAAAGACTTCAGAGCTGTTCACAGGAAAGGAGGGTTTAGTATACCCTAAAATCCAGCAGTGGTTCACAAACTCGCAGAGTTTAGTCAAAATAATAATACAAGAATCACACAAAAAAAAAATACATGGTAGAATTTAACATGCAGATCTGAAAATGAAGATCCTTATAATCTCCTGAAACAGGGTTAGCAGGGCTCAATGTTCATTTCACAAAATGAAACTAAATCAAGCAAAAAGATAAAACCTTTCACTACCTTCACACTATCAGAAACAATAGGACTAAGGATCTTTGAAATCTTTTCATTTGTAAAAAGGGATATTTTTAAAATTTAAGAACTTAAGATCATTATTGTCACTTTTTGTAAACACACGACCAGGATAATATATATGATTCTGTGATTCTAAGGCAATGGGATAGACCAGTGTATAGGTTTTCCTGGAGTAAAATATGAAATTCACTGTGCATCCTGACATCATCTGTAAGTTTCTGTTGGGGAGGATGCAGACCAGGATTGAATGACAAGCAGTGAATGCCAGGACAAGACAGGATTGAGAGCGTTTGTAAAATGATTAGATGTTGCCAAAGAAAACAATGATTTTAGAGAAGACAGAAAGCC